ATCTCCCACATAGTGGCTCGCTGATCAGAATGAGTGAAGGGCTTCTCCAATTATTATTCTCTTTCTTTGAATATATCTCTCTCTGCAAGAGTTTTGTGGCACTTTATCAGTAAAATCTAAAGCCTGGCAGAGCTTCACTCCTTGTCTTCTGTAGTATTGCACACAGTCAGATCTGCAGGGATTCTTATGCAGATGAATTCTTAAAAGAGCAAAATGTGAACCCATATTTAGACAGGGAAATGGAAACCTGAATAGTAAAATGGTTAGGGTGAGTGATAATGAGGGCAAGGATCAAATTCCCACTTTGGCTATAATCCTATCACCTTGTTGCCTTGTGGAAATCTGTAGGGTTTACTTCCAAGTAGAGATGCCCAGGATTGAAATATTAGTAATCAATTTCCTCAGGTAACATTGGACCTGTCACTTTCTCTCAAACCATCCAAGTTGTTTGCGAAAATAAAGGTGAATGAAGAAGTGTGACAGCATGAGTGCCTTGGAGGCAGGATGACACAATTAATCTTCTACACTTCAGTACAAATATTAATGTTACAACAGCTTAATTGGGGGAACTTTCAAAATAGTCATAGAATCATGGAATCATAGAGTTAGTAGGGGCACTATGGGCCATCAGATCAAACTCCCTGCTCAATGCAGGATTTCCAAGGTAGAATATCTTCAGCAGATGGCTGCCCAGTGCCTTTTTGAAGATGTCCTGAGTATGAGACTCCATCAGACAATTGTACTATTGTATTGTTCTCACTGTCAAACCATTCCTTAAAATGTTAATAGAAAACTATCTTCTTGTAAAAACATAACACTTACAACCTCATCAGATCGGCAAACTAGCCAGTTCTATGACACTTTTACTTCACTTCAAGCTCGGAGCTTGCTGGATCCCATCACATGACGTCGATCTACTTCTGGCTATGCTCCGTGTCTCACGTGAAGCCAAAGTGTTGAAGGAGGCAGTGGTGGCAACATGGGAGGCTTCCCTTGTTGAATAGGGAAAAAAATGGTGGGAGCAGGGAGCTGGGCAACAGCGCTTGCCCCATGGGATGAGGTGAGGGGGAAGGCAGCCAATACAGGGTACAGGGCAATGGGTCCGCGCCCCCCCCCCCACACACACAAACACTGTGCCGGGCCCCACCAGATTTGCCACGATGCATGGTAAATCCCAGCAGAGAGCAAACCTGCACCCTCCTCCTTATAGCAGCTTCTGAGGTATTCAAAGAGTGTGATCCTCTCACCCCTCAAACTTCTCTTCATGAACATGCCCAGCTCCTTCAATCTCTCCTCATGTGTTTTGTTCTCTGTGCCTCTTATCATCCTTATTACCCTTCTCTCAATCTGCTTCAGTTTGTTTATAGTCTTCTTAAAATGAGGCACCCAGGACTGAATGCAATACTCCATATGCAGCCTGATGGGCACAGAATCTATTGAGACTATTACTTCCCTTCACTTGGAAACTATACTTCTGTTAATGGAGGATAATGTAGCATTTGCCTTCTTTGCTGCAACATTACCCTTCTGACCCATGTTCAGCAATATGATCAGCAATAATTCCAATGTGCTTTTCATCTGTAGTAGTATTGAGCATCATATCCCCCATCTTGTACCAGTGCATTTGGATCTTGTGAATTTTGCATTGGTCTCTGTTGAATTTCAGTTCAATAATCTCAGCCCAGTTTTATAGCATATCAAGGTCCTTTTAAATTCTGATCCTGTTTACCAACGCATTACCTACACTTTCCATATTTGATCATCTGCAATTTGATAAGTATTTCCTCCACCCTGTCATGAAGAGAGCTGACCCCCCTTTTTTTAAAGAGGAACAAGAGTTGCTTGTTTTCAGTCTTTAGCACTTTACCCATTTCCAGTATTTATCAAAAAATGATGGTAAGTGATTCAGAGAATACATCAGCAAGTTCCTTCAAAGCTCTGGAATGCACTTTATTTGGGATGCAGATCTGAACTCATTTAGATTAATTACTCGATTCCTGACTATCTTTTTAGCAATCTTGATTTGCAATCCAGATTACTTGCCAAGGTCTCTGCTGATGGATGCTGATACACACAGTTCTCTTTAGGAGAAAAAAAATCAAAGCAGGTATTGGGCAGTTCTGCCTTTTCATTTTGAACTTTTAGAAAAAGATTTAGTAACTTTGAGAAGACCATTTTGACATTAAGATTGACAAGGGAAGTTGTTTTCACTTGATGTCATGTAGAGGCAGTTTTCAAAATGTAGAAATATTAAGACAACAAAGTTACTAACCATTTAACAGTCTAATGAGTCTTACATCTAAGAAGTAAGTGACTGCACAACAGTTCAAGCAATTCAAATATTTTGTCAGGTTTCATTCCATTTGGCAATATGCAACATCTTGAGTGCCCCCCCCCTTCCAATTGATTCTCAAACCAAAACACTTCTAACAGTCCCTCACCATGCTCTTACAGGATAATGGTCTTGAAGCTATTGCTGAACTCTGTTGCAGCAGCTCAATAAGTCTTCTAGACTTAGATATGGTAAATACTGTTTAACTAATGAGTGTTTTCTCAAGCAGGTCCCCATCAATACAAACAAATATCAGCCTTGTCAAGGCATGACAACAACTGCCATTCAGTAGGTATAGGCACAGCTAGTAAAAGCAAATACATATAAGAAACAAAAAATAAACATGGCAAGACTCAAATAAACATGGCAGGATTCAGGATTCTGACACTCAAACATCTGAAACCTCTACAGAACTAAATGCATCTAAAAGCATTAAGCAGTGCTTTTATCTATGACAACCTACATGAAATCAGGCTAAAAGTAAACCAATCTTTCTTCTCATCTTCTTTCCCTGTCAGTATCTTTCAGAACATAGAAAAGATACTTCTTCCAACTGCAATTTCCAGAGTTTCCTGATTGGGGAATTTGGGACATATTACTTCAAAAATGTAGTTTTCCCAAGCTCTCATATATACATCTTGTCACACGGTTTCAGAGATCTCAATTATAGGTATTCTGAAGTAGAAATGGCTTCAATTCATTTTTTTAAAAAAATCCAAAATATATGTGTGTGTGTGTGTGTGTGTGCATGTAAGAGAATGTTAGGGAGGAAGTAAAATATGTTTCAATTCGGGAAGTGGGTTTAACATATATACTTCTTCAAGGTCTGTTTCTGGTCCCTACTATATTCAGCCATATTGTTACTTGCTGAAACATCATTTTCTATATAGCTGGTGCAATATGACTTATAAACCTCTTCTTTCCTCCCATCTGGATACACATAAGAGGAATAAACTGTTTAGATTTTGGATGAGTAGCAGAGCTGCAGTAACATAGAAGTGTCTTTTTTCTCTGGAAACAACATTCGATAATTTAGAATAAAAATATACATGAGATGGCCAGAGGATCAGTTCAAATACTTTCTAACATATGCTTTTTCCTTCTGAGTGGAGCTTTGAAGAAATGTTTCACTCTCATGTCCTCTACATTGCCATGCATGCTGTAAACGATTGATAAGCAATAACAATAAAAGTAATCATGTCTACTCAAGTGTGAAAGTAATATATTTGAATATGTGTTTAAATTCACAGGAGATTTCTGACATTAAATCAGAAGAGGGTAGAAGAAAATCTTAGAGGTTGTCAGAAGGTCTTGCAATGGAAGAGTAAATTGCTCCATTGAAAAGTGTCAAAGGACAACTATCCTTTTGTAGTAGAATTGATGGAAAGCAAGAAATGTATGGGTTTCCAAACTATGTTGTTGTAGTTTGCACACATCACTGCTAAAATCGAGAAAGATAAGTGCACTGCAAGGGGTTCTCCCAGGTTCTGATAATATTCTCTGAAGAATAAGCTGCTTTGCTGCTATAGGAGAGCCTTTATTATTTTGTAGTTTTCTGGGAACAAAACACTTTGGAGGCTGTTTTCCCAACACTTTATTTCTAATGTTGGAATCCTATGCAAACATGCCAACAAATATTTGAATTCAGTTGGATTTACTTCTAATTAGACATGCATAGGAAATAGGGTGGCATTAATAAAAACATGAGATGTACCAAAAGCAGCCAAGGGATACAATCTAAAGTCTGTGTGAATAACAGCAGTGACTGCACAGCAAGCCATCAATATATCTATAATAATAGGTAATGATTTTACCAGGCATGGGTAAACCCTATTGAGCGGGGCCGCATTGCAAGCTGGGGCTGGGCAGGTGGGTTGGGCCAAACCAGGCTGGTAGGGAGCAGAGTCGAGGGCAGTTGGAGCAGGGTGGAAGCAAAGGGGTTCATTTGTGGGGTGGGCATTTGGCACAAGGCAGTTGGTATGAAGAAGGCCCTCCTCTCAGTCTTGGAATGTGGTGGGCAGAGCCAGATGAGGGCCAAAGGAAAGAGTCCACAGGCTGGGATTTGCCCGCACCTGATTTATACTAAACTGTTCTACAAATTTTCAGTTTTTCTCAGTTGCGGAAACGAAATGTGCCATTTATTAATAAATTTAACATGCTGAATTCAAATATAATAATTAAATGTGTTAATTGGCTCTGGTTTTTATGCAACAGCTATTTCAATTTTCTCCACAATAGGTAATTCGTTAATATTATGATAATGTGCCTAACCTTACTGCATGTATATAAACTGTGAATATTTACTGAATTTTAGTCAAATTATATTGCCAATAGTTTATACATGAGAAATATCTATTTAATTAGTCTATTGTTTATGTTTGTGCAGCAAGAAACTATATTAGTAGGCCTAATGCAGTTGAAAAGTCTGAAAGTTTAAATGTCGCTTTAATCGTGACTTTAGTTTATATCATGTTTGCTTCTCTTGACTTTTCTTTTGTATTCAAGGAAAGGATTGTCTCTTACAATGCTCCAGCAGTAGTCTGACAGCATTGACGGAGTCCATTTGCCTTGGTATCTTTTTTCCATAGTGGCAACTTGTTGATGGAAATGCTCACCATGCTCGTCGCTCACTGCCCCACAATTTGATGGAAAGAAATCCAGATGCGAGTCAAGGAAATGAATTTTTAATGACATGTTACATCCAAGACGATGGTAGGCTTGGAGTAGTTCTTCAACCACTTCCTTGTAGTTTGATGATTTGTTGTTTCCAAGAAACTTTGATGTTACTGACATGAATGATATCCACGCAGCCTTTTCTTTTCCTTTCAATAGAGAAAGAAACTCGTCATCGCCCATAAGTTGACGGATCTGTGGGCCAACAAAAATTCCTTCATTTATTTTTGCAGCACTAATTGATGGAAATTTACCTTTCAGGTACATAAAAGCTGGTTTATTCTTATCCATTGCCTTGACAACGTTTTTCATTAATCCCAGCTTTATGTGTAATATGATCTTGTCGCTGTTTATAAGTGCCGGATGTTTTACATTTTTACTCCCCGGCTGCAATGTCTGCCTTAGCGGCCAGTCTCTTTTGATGTAATGCAATTCTCTGGCACGACTGTCCCAGTCACATAAAAAACAACAATACTTAGTATATCCACCCTGAAGACCAAGTAAGATAGCAACAACTTTTAGGTCACAACAGACTGATCATTGATGTTGATCGTAGTTGATGCATCTTAGAAGCTCTTTCAGGTTTTCATATGTTTCTTTCATTGCAACTGCATAAGCAACTGGAATAGATGGTAACTGATTCCCATTATGCAGTAATACAGCTTTAAGACTTGTTTTGGAAGGGTCAATGACTAACCTCCACTCTTGAGGATTATAATTTATGTAGAGGGCCGACATTAAATCACAGATATTCTTACAAACAGCAATATCACCTACCTGGCCAAAGAGTGGAAGAAGGTCTTTCTGACGGTCTCTCTGCCAAGAGATTCCATTGCTTCAGTCTTGAACCTAAAACCTCGGCCTTGTTCTTAGGTCGTTGAGTTCCATCTGTGTTATGAGATGCGGTTCATTGGATGTGGATGGCAGAAAATCGAGGTCAAAGAAGGCTACTGGATCATCACTACAAGCTTCGTCTGGTTCTTCCTCACTGTAGTCAATTATGAAAGATTCAGGTGCTTCTGGAATCGGTAGTCCTTCTCCATGAGGTACTGGACGCATTGCTGAAGGAATGTTTGGATACTGAATAAACGATTTCTTCTATTTGTAACACCTTTCTGAATTGGAGGCACCATACAAAAGTAACAATTACTGACATGATCAATTGGTTCCCGCCAAATCATTGGCACTGCGAAAGGCATGGAAGACTTTTTCCCCTTCAGCCACTGGACAAGTCTCGATCCACATGAATTATAGCAGATGGGGGGCGCCCAACTTTTGTCTTGGTCTCCTATTTCTCATTCAAAATACAACTTGTAGGCTTTCCTAATCACTGCTGTTATTCGTCTCTTTTGTGATTCAAAAGTAACTTCGCCGCAAACATAGCAGAAATTATCTGCTTTATTTACACACGTGCGAGGCATAACTACAGTAAAAAGAACAATGTAAAATGATGTTTAACGATACTGTCTCAGTCTTCAACTGACTAACCCTCCCCGTTCAAAAGTCTGGCCTTATATAGGGCTTTCTAGCTTTTGCACATGGCACTAATACTGCGTCATCAAACTTTCTAGAATATTCTAGAATCTTCCATAGTGTAAGTCGCAACATGCATTTTTTCAACCATATGTGATCACGTGATTGCTTATATCATAAAAACTAAAGCCAATATACATTTTTAAATGTCATTTTCATTTTCAGCACCCCAAAATAATAAAAGAACAGCTATTTTCAGGCCCGCAACTTTTTCTCCATTGAACAGTGATAATCGTTCTTTATGTTTTAAATTTTACCTTCCTGATACCTGGGTTCTCTGGATTTTCCCCATGGATTCCCTAGAGACTACTAATACTGTATAGCAAAATTTTGTTTACATCAATTTGTGTGGAAAATGTATATGGGATGATTACTGCAAGGCAACTAAATTGAAAAATGTCCTCGTTCTTCCAGCATGACTCTGTGGTATTCTTCCTTTAGAAGCTAACCATGGTATTATATTGCAGGACCTAGTGAGGCTTACAGCCTCATCCCACTAGAACATGGATACACTTTAAATCCGGTTACTGCTTCCTGCAGAATTCTGGTATTTGTAGTTTAGTGAAGCCCAGGTCCTGCTTGGCTGAGCAGTTTAAAGGCCCCTCCATAAACTACAAACCTCAGAATTCTGCAGGAGACAGAAAATAGATTTAAAGTGGATTTATGCTCTGGTGTGATGAGGCCCTTATATAGAATATGATTCATTCAATTGCATTCACTGTTACCCTCAGTTTCACGTATTAATGGAAAATACTGAAATGTATCTCCTGCTACTATGGGGGTCATACTATGGGGGTCATAGCAAAACAAGTCACACATCAAAATAGACACTTTCAGATCCCCATCCACAGATCACTTAGCCCCAGGCAATGGCACCAGGCAAGATGCATTCTGTTTTCCATCTAGTGCACCTTCTCCAGGGAAGCTTTGTTTGTGACCTTGAAATGGGAGTTATTTTGTGAAATCAATTAGGCTGTTTCATGCAGTTAGCGATCAAATCTATTATCTCGTGCATGCTGCAAATGGGTGACTGAGATGTAAACAGCTTTCAGCCCCTACTGTCTCTATGTGGGGAAAGCAATTATAGCACTGCTGCAGAAATGCAGATTGGAACATGGGAGCAGAGCAGCTTGAAGGAGTTGGATATTGCAGGCATATATTGAAGGGGCTATTTGAGTATGCAGGTCTGGTAATCCTGCTGTATGCTTTGAGCTGAGTTTTCTTTTTGCTTATTTGTCACTAGCTGAGGCTGATATATTTCTGCCTAGCTGCTGCTCTCTGTCCAGGAAAAGTATGTAAAAGAAACTGAAGAATTTGTAGGCATGTGAAGGAGAAATCATAATAATCATCACTTATAGATTGATGCAGGTTCTTTCAAAAGATCTCTTTCTAAAAGCAGTGATAAATGTCTGTGATGAAAATGGAAGGGTTTATCCCAGGCAAATCTCTCTTGAAATGCATTTTTACAGTGTGTTTGCTGGTCAAGATAGGAATGGGAACTATTCTCCCTTAGTTCTGAAATGCTCAAAGATATAATGGAATTTAGCACACACATGTATGCACATGCACTCACACACGCACACACTAAAATGGTTCCCTTTTTCATTCTTTATTTAGGCAATAGTGCTAATGTGTGATTTTCAAACTTGGCCTATCAAAACAGTATTATGAACATGATAAATTTAGCATGGAAATACATCCTATGACTTGATTTTGAAAAATGGCAAGATGTAATGTATGCCTGTACTGGAAAAAACAGTCCTTCAGCAGAATAGCTTTTTTTAAACAAAACTTATGCAAATATATGGACCAATAAATTTAGTGAATGCAGCCTAGGAAATCTCTATGGAAACTAATATTAGTGCACTAGGATTAAAAAAAAACCTTCTGACATCAGTGAGAATGTCAATGTATCATATGGTATATAATACATTTCAGTTTCGATGAACTAGGGCCAACATGAGAACTAAAGCATATTGCTTCTGTTTTACATCATAGTTGTTGAAAAATGATGTAGGAAGGAAAGAGGGATTGAGAAATATTTGGACTGAAACGAAAAAGTGTACTCAAAAATCTGGTGAAACATCTTTTTTTTAATCACTTTTTTGGTTGATAGAAGAAAAGCATTGGATACACTGTTCATAACTGTACTGATTACAATGTCAGGAAATGCCTACATTGTAAAATATTCTCTTCTGACAATCTGTGGGTGGTTCTTTCCCCAAGTTATTCATCTATTCTGCTAGCATTGCCTTCACTTTGAACTAATCTCATTTTCTCTCTGTGACAGTGTGAATATATTCAATTGTCCATGAAACACTGAAATGAAATGGGAATTACAGAATACACCATCAAATATTTCAATGTTACCCTTTAAAAATCTATGGTTGTGGTTTCTTAGTCATAGAATAAACCTATGTGCAGCATAGAATCATAGAATCATAGAGTTGAAAGAGACCTCATGGGCCATCCAGTCCAACCCCCTGTCAAGAAGCAGGAATATTGCATTCAAAGCACCTCTGTTTAAAAGCCTCCAAAGAAGGAGCCTCCACCACACTCCGGGGCAGAGAGTTCCACTGCTGAACAGCTCTCACAGTCAGGAAGTTCTTCCTAATGTTCAAATGGAATCTCCTTTTTTGTAGTTTGAAGCCATTGTTCCATGTCCTAGTCTCCAGGGAAGCAGAAAAAAAGCTTGCTCCCTCATCCCTGTGACTTCCTCTCACATATTTCTACATGGCTATCATGTCTCCTCTCAGCCTTCTCTTCTTCAGGCTAAACATGCCCAGTTCTTTAAGCCACTCTTCATAGGGCTTGTTCTCCAGACCCTTGATCATTTTAGTCGCCCTCCTCTGGACACATTCCAGCTTGTCAATATCTCTCTTCAATTGTGGTGCACAGAATTGGACACAATATTCCAGGTGTGGTCTAACCAAGGCAGAATAGAGGGGTAGCATTATTTCCCTAGATCTAGACACTATGCTCCTATTGATGCAGGCCAAAATCCCATTGGCTTTTTTTGCCACCACATGACATTGTTGGCTCATGTTTAACTTGCTGTCCACGAGGACTCCAAGATCTTTTTCACACGTACTGCTCTCGAGCCAGGCACCCACCATTCTGCATCTTTTCATTTCGTTTTTCCTGCCAAAGTGGAGTATCTTGCATTTGTCACTGTTGAACTTCATTTCGTTAGTTTTGGGCCATCTCTCTAATCTGTCAAGATTGTTTTGAATCCTGCTCCTGTCCTCTAGAGTATTGGCTATCCCTCCCAATTTGGTGTCATCTGCAAACTTGATGATCATGCCTTCTAATCCTTCATCTAAGTTATTAATAAATATGTTGAACAGGACCGGGCCCAGGACGGAACCCTGCGGCACTCCACTCGTCACTTCTTTCCAGGGTGAAGAGGAAGCATTGGTGAGCACCCTCTGGGTTCATCCATTTAACCAATTACAGATCTACCTCACCATAGTTTTGCCTAGCCCACATTGGACTAGCTTGTTTGCCAGAAGGTCATGAGGGACCTTGTTGAAGGCCTTATTGAAATCCAGGTACACTACATCCATGGCATTCCCAGTATCTACCCAGCTTGTAACTCTATCGAACAAAGAGATCAGATTAGTCTGGCATGTCTTGTTTTTGATAAATCCATGTTGACTATTAGCGATGACCGCATTTGTTTCTAAGTCCTTGCAGACCACTTCCTTAACAATCTTTTCCAGAATCTTGCCTGGTATCGATGTGAGGCTGACCGGGCGGTGATTGTTTGGGTCATCCTTTTTTCCCTTTTTGAAGATTGGGACTACATTGGCCCTCCTCCAAGCTGCTGGAACTTCTCCCGTTCTCCAAGAACTCTCAAAGATGATTGCCAATGGTTCCAAGATGACTTTCGCTAATTCCTTCAATACTCTTGGGTGTAGTTGATCTGGCCTTGGGGACTTGAACTCATTTAGAGCGGCCAGGTATTCCTGGATGACTTGTTTCCCAATTTGGGGTTGGATGTCCTCTAATCCCTCATCCACTCCATCTTGCTGAGGTTGAAGATGACTTTCTTTTTTGGAGAAGACCAAGGCAAATAAGGCATTAAGCAGTCCTGCCTTTTCCCTATCCCCTGTCAGCATTGCCCCATCTTCTCCTCGAAGAGGCCCGATCGCCTCCTTGTTCTTCCTTTTTCTACTGACATAACAAAATAAGCTCCTTTTATTGTTTTTAATGTCCCTGGCAAGCCTGAACTCATTTACTCATTTTGTGCTTTAGCCTTACGGACCTTTTCCCTACAGGAGTTGGCTATTAGTTTGAATTCTTCTTTGGTGATTTCTCCCTTTTTCCACTTCT